CTCCCAAGAGACATTGGATCTTTCCTGATTTCTTGGCTGATTTCAAGTTGTTCTCTTTACATGGTGGCATGGTGTGAGTGCAACCAATTTGGTCGCCTTGTACGTTATAATTTCTCAATGGTGTGACGGTGACAAGATTTTGAAAAAAGAAGCGGTTGCATTTGTGCAACCAGCTGTTCGGTGGCAGGGACAGGTAATCATCTACTTGCTATTATTGCCGAAGAAGACAGGGAGCTATTTTTATAATCATTCAGACTCCTAGGAGGGACACTTGAGTCTCCACTCTGTTTCCCCCCCACAGAAACCAAATACTGTATGTGTCACACCCTAATTACGGTCCATTGCATTCTTAGGTACTCATCAACGAGTGGGTACTTAGCCACTGACAAAGACGCAGCTGTCCTGAACAATCTCAAATGTGGTGTCGACATCATGGACCTGGAATTTCGCAGTTACTCTAGGGGTGTTCACACGGCACACATTTGATCCGGCGCTGCACCGATGTATTTTGTTGCGATATAGTTTACACCGGAGCAAATTTTGTGGAGCGTTCACACGTACAAAGCCGCTGAGCATGGCAGCACCGGCACAGCGTCGGTGCAGCTCCACTTGCGTTCACACGGCAGTTTCTGCAGCGGAGCAAAACAACAGAAAACAAATGAGTTGTCGTGTTGGTTCTTTTTTAAACGTATACACAACTCAAGCAACTACTGTACAGGCACGTCCTTCTCCTTCTCGGTCTCCGTGCCTTCTGCTTGAGAGTGACCGCCCCCCGATAACGTAAATCAACGATGACTTCAATGACACTCAGAAAACCAAAAATGTAATGCGCCAAACAGAAAAATCAAGAGAGGAAATTACGAAATAAATTCTATGTGGCACAGGGGGGTTGTGAACACACAACAAAGGAACAAACTACACAAACAACTCCGAGACAGTCCAGTCTCCTACAAAAGGAAAGATGACGTTTGGAGACTATCACCCCACCCCGTTCTAGTTGAAATGGTATAACCCAAGAGGTGCTTTGCTACTGTTACCAGCTTCGTCTTGTGTCGTTATTAAACAAACACATGACGGAAGTCCGACAGAGCACAAAAGCAACGCATTCTCGCCGTACGTAATCAACTCTTCTCATGCGTAGCGAGGCTACTCCCCCCTCGCAAACGAGCATTTGCTCCGGAGCAAATTGTAGCGTTCACACGTGCAAATTTACATCGGTGCTGTGCCGCAAACGAGCATATGCTCTGGAGCAAATTTTTAAACCAACTCCCTGAGGTGGATCAAATTTGGTCCGGTGTAAGCTGTTTAGCGGCGCTACGCCGGAACAAATTTGCACGTGTGAACGCTCAACTGCCGCAGCGCCGGTGCTGTGTCGGACCAAATGTTGCCGTGTGAACACCCCTTCTGTACGTGAAGGTACAATGAGATGGCCGATGGCTGTGTTTTACAACATCTTTGTTTGCAGGACTCAAAATTATATATCTCGATATAAAATAGCAAGACGCTCCCTTTCAACACTTTTTGGCGGGTCAAAGATGAATCATCACGCTGTGCCTGTGAAAAACTCAAGTTCTGCATGAAAATGATCAATTTGAAAACGAAGCGATAGAATGGATTCCACGTGTATTTCATCTCAAAAAATAGATGCAGAAAACCAATTTTTGTCCAGTCACAGCGCATTTTTTCTGGAAAGAGCTCAAACACAACTGATGTGACGCATTTGTTCCAATTTAGCAGTCACAATGCAGTAAATGGTAAATATCCTTCTTTCCTGAAGCAATATTTTGCTAAACCAAAAGTCAATCTGATCGCAACTTAAAAAATGCTTTTTTTTGCAAATAACATCTTTTGAAGTAGATTAAAGAAAAACAGTTTGAGTTTCAGTAATACCTGAATAAATTTGATCGAGAATTCCTGCTCCAGGGTAAATGGTGTGACATGAAAGTTGCCAAGCAGCAGATGTACTGCAGCATTCACTACTTGGCCTGCCTTGTTGTACTTCACCAAGTATGCAACCTGAGAAAACAACAACAACAACAAGAAAAACACATTATGGGGCGGCATGGCTCAAGTTGTAGAGAGGCCGTCTCAGAACCCAAAGGTTGTGGGTTTGATCCTCAGCTCTTGTGATCATGTCAAAGTGTCCTTGCGAAAAATACTGAACCCCCAGTTGCTCCTCAGTAGGAGAATGAGGGGACAGTGAGAAAGCGCTCTGAGGACTTTGAAGGTAGAAAAGCGCAATACAAGTGTTAACCCATTCACATTTTGAAACTATACCAGTTGCCATAAGTCAAAGAGTTGTATTCACCTTACCTTCAAAACAACATTTGCACACACATTTGGATTCATGAGATATGGCTTCATGTTTTCCTCTTCACCAATCGTAACTTCATTTTGAGTGCCATCTGAAGACTGCAACACGACTGAAGCCATTTCCACAGGAACAATCTGAGAATCACTCACACAGAGGTAAATCAACATCTTTCATTTCTTTTTTTAATCAAGCTTCAGGATCAGTGTATTATGACAAAGTCTCAATGATCTGTGAAGCTGTACCATCTTTTCTGCAGGCTTCTTTTGTATAGCCTGTAAGTGCTGGAATTTTTCTCTGCGCCACTGTGGATCGTACTGGGCTCTTATGGAATAATATTCTTGCCTTTTGACCTCTCTGGCTTCGCTGTTATGTGCCCCTCTACCCTTAGCAGTGGATTCGCACACCAACAATGTGATTGTAAGAGGATGGTCTATGTATATGTATATGAATTTAGCAACATATGACGGATCACACCCAAGCTTTGGTGTTAATGCCTTTAGATACAAATTTTGTCTTACACGGTCCCTGATAGAAACATTTTTTTCCATATTTGAGCAAAAAAGAAAAAAAAAAGCGTAAAAACTGAGATATTTGTTTGTAGATGACACATTTGTATCATGTGATCATCTTGTCAGCGAGAACACCCCAAAAAAATCAAGCTCTTAAAAAAATCATCATTATAGGAATTATAGTAACAGTATATAAAGGTTTGTAAAGTACAGTATGATAATACATTTAATAAATAACATAGGCTTACTTACGCGGAAAACGATTAATCTCCAGTGCGGACCTCTCGTCGGTTTTCCTTTGCCCCCCCCCCCCCTCACACCACCCCCCCTTTCAATCTCTCGTAGTTTGTTCGATTGTGTTATACTGTACAAGCTCGCCAAAATCAACCGAAAACGCTTTTGTGGAAAAGTTGTAACCTGTACATTGATTACGCTATGAAAATTAAATGGAATGTTCGGAAAGTGGTTTTATACGCAACCACCACGCCGACATTTTCGAGAGGTTCATGGGGCAACAGCGACATCTACTGGTAAAACTGTCATTTGGAAAACAACTAGATCTTAACCCATTTAATCCCAAGTTTTTCCCAGACATTTAAAAGTCAAAATCAGGTGTCATTGGTAGCCCTTTTAAGTAATCAATAATAAAAATTTTTAGAGCCCTGTAAATTAAATCGTTGTTGACCTTCACAAATGTGACCAGAGATTAAATGGGTTAAAGCTGTGTCGATTATTCCCTTCATATTCACCGTTTTCACATTATGTCCATAATATTTATGGAGTGCCCTATAAAGTCTTGTCAATAAAGGGAGAGTACTGAAATTTTCATGTACATGTGTTTTCAATATAGGCCTTAGGCCTACATAATTAATATAACTAATTTAGAAAATGTTTGTACCATGGTTTAAAACTATATTTCACTGTTAATAGTAGTGGGATTTATTTATTTAGATTTAAAATGATTTATTTAGTGTTTTTTTATTATTGGTACCATTCCTGTGTTTCACAAAGACTTAATTAGTATTATTTATCTTTTATTTATGATAAAGTTTATGAATCAGATTTCAAGAGTCATAATTATATTTTGCGAATAGACAAACACCATCGGTGATAGATCGGATTCAATAGTTTAAGTATGGGCAAAATGTTGGTTTCCAATTAGTGCGATGTACAAAGTACTTGTACAAATGTCATCTGCTGCATGCATTTTCCTATTTCTTGTATCCAATATTGCTGATGGAACAATGCCTATTTTCACCTTATGGGACTAATAAAGGTTATCTTATATACTTTTAACCCTATGTGGGCCCGTCCTCTCGGCTGATGTACAGTATGTGGTGCCGTACTCTTGTGTAGTTGTGTGGTGTTATTTTATATTATTTTCTCTACAGACACATTCATTTGCTTGTTGTTATCTTTGCTCAAGATGGCTAACAGTGCGCCGGTGCATGAGGCGACCCTCTAAATCACATATGTCAAAGTGCCGGCCCGCGGGCCAAATCCGGCCCGCGAGAATGTTTTCAGTGGCCCCTGGGATGATATTGATTTATTATTAGAACCGGCCCGCGGACCGCAGCAAGCCGAGAGCCCGCAGATCTTTTACACGCACCAAAACTACATTTCCCACAATGCAACGGTGACGCGCCAAGCAGTCGGCCGCTTTATTTAAATATTTATTAGTCTAGCAGTCGTTCCCATAACAGTGACATTAGCTTTCAGATACCCATCAAAAA